TCAGGGGGGAAAATGAGTCGGGGGGATTTGATTGAGTCTAATTACTAGCCGCAAACTTTCTCCTGATGTGAGAGAACATTTCAAAATTGAAAAATAAAAATCTCAATATAAGTGGGGGACTTTATCTCTAACATCTTCGTTTTCCCCCAGAAGAACATAAGTACATTTTCATGATACTGAATTGGATTTTTTCCCTGGAGCATCTTAGACATTTCTGACTAAAAATTTCACTACTTTTTCTTTTAATCTCATGCAAAAATCGGAAACATTTTTGAGAAAAATTACACGGGTACATGCTTGTAAAAAATGTAATCGTCTAAGTCAATTTTGCAACCTTGGAATAGAGTTACGTTCCCCCGTCAGGGATACGACGACATTACTGCATGCTAAGGAAGAACGCCGTATGAACATTCGGGAGTTGCCAAATTTCCTTTGTTAAAATGTTTACTTCTGAGATAAGTTAAGAGGTTTTTTCCTTGAAATTTCCAGGATCTTTAGGCGAAATTGCGAACAAAATTATCTGAAAAATCGGAAGAGAAATATTCATAAATTTACTGGGAAATTCGTGTGTTATCAAAGGAAATTTGGCAACGCCTGAAGGTTCATACATCGTTTTTCCATTGCACGGCAGAGTAGGTCTTATGTAGGAGTAAACACTTCAAACATTCTTTTTTTCAGTTCGCTCACTGTGGTTTTGGTCCTTTCCGTTGGTCTCGAGCCAATTAGTGGATCGCATGCTATAGCCGGTAACATTGAATGGAATCATGAAAAAATGTATTTTTTGCCCAACTATTGTGAAAAAAATCGGGTGTTTATTAAACTTGCCGCACGCAGCTAGGTGGAATTATATCACGACCTTTCTCGCCGGCCATTGGCTCTTGACCCACTGACCGTGATCCTACTATGGATGGTTACGGTGGTTACGTTGTTACGTCATTCTGTCTACAGTTGAGAGAACCGCAGTCCAAAAAATGGTAACACGGCCCTGAAAATTTCGGATCGCGGCTTATCGTGAAAGGTAATGTGATCGATTGCTGTGTACTTTTCAGCACTAACGCTTGAGAAAAAGTTCGAAAAAAAATTGTTACGTCAGAATTTATTTTGTCAATCCAAAATTTTGTGTTTTAAAGAGGTGAATTTCTTGCGAAATTCAAACTTCATTGAATCAAGTTGGCAAATGAAGCTGATTGAATGAAGTATTTATGCGTGTATATTGATTTTTATCTTTAAAAAAAGAAAACCTATCAGACTTTTCGGCGGTTTTCAGCGACCAAAATCTGTGAATAGTCATCAAAATTTTTTCTCCCTGGATTCTCCACTCCTGAGCCCTTATCAAGGTCAATTCGGATATTTCCTTCCCGTATAGATGCTTGAAATCAGAAAAGACGTATCCTTATTTCGACGTTGCAAATCTCTGCTCGTATTTTATATTTATGACAGAGAACTGTTCGACAGTTTTTCTTAAAATTGTTCAAGGACTTTTTTTTTTTTGTTTTTTAAAAAAAAATATTCACAGAAAATTATAAAAACACGTTTTACCTAATTTTTTCTCGGTATTAAAACAAAATCGGGGATTTCGGTACGTCGCATTAGATAATCGCATTTTTCGACTTCCAGCTATCGATATGTTTACGTCGAGGGCTAATAGTCAAATCAGGCATTTTGTTAGATGCCTAGGTAAATAGTCAAATATTCTTACTTAGGTTGAAATTTCTATTTTTTAACCTAATTTTAGACAAAATAATTCGTTGCTCCTGTAAGAAAGAATTCTCCGTAAAAATATGCGGCATACAATGGAATTTTAAACGATTTTAAGATCCTAAATGCACACTTATCATGAAATTTTCAGCACGTCATACAACGTGGAATTCTTAAAATTTTAACGTTTAGATGTACTAAAAACATTGGAAAAGGAAGGAGCAAGGAGAGTTCGCGGATTTGAAGGGTTGTTCTTCCGAAAATATTGAAAACACGTAAACTCCTCGCTATTAATTTACAGAATTCTATAAACTGTCAAAATCTGACGACCGGCCAAGGCATTTGATTCATTGCCTGATTTGACTAATTGCCTTCGACATATATAATCTTGCATATTTATTAAATTAATTTTTCTAACTAAAAAACTGCGCATTGTAAAAATATGCACGGGCAAAGCGGGTTGCGGCCCTCCTCGGGGTATGGTAATAACTACAATTATATAAAGAGAGAACGGTCAGTTCAGATTGTGATAGCCTTGACCAGAAACAGATAGAGACAAGATTGGATACAAAAAAAACTACGAAGTCTCCGATTTTATATAACAGTCCTCAAACTGACCAAATTCGGCTTGAGCATCAGTAGGATGGAACTAAGCAATATAGATGCGAAGCTGCGTTGAAAGCTTCCGAAAGAGACCTTCTTGCGATACTGCCGTGCTGAGGAAAAACGTCGTATGAACCTTCAGGCGTTGCCAAATGTCCTTCTATAAAACGCGAATTCCCAAGTAAACTTATGAATATATTTTTTCCATTTTTTCAGAGCAATTTTTCTCTTCTTTTGATATATAGCTCCTGAAAATTTCAGGGAAAAATATTCATAATTTTCCTCAAAAATAAACATTATATCAAAGGAAAGTTGGCGACTCTCGAATGTCCATACGGTGTACTTCCTTAGCACGACAGAACAGCATAGGACTCTTGACATATGTCGGCGAGGGAAGCGCTTGTCGTGGGATGGCAAAAAATTTTTATTGCTAATGACGCATAATGTAGTTACCAGCACGAGCACGTGCACCACTGCCGTGCTAAGGAAGAACGCCGTATGAACATCCGAGAGTTGCCAAATGTATCCTCTTATAACATTAATTTTTTAGACAAATAACGAATATTTCTATCTGAAATTCTCTAATACTTTAGATTACATTACAAAGATAATTCCTTGAATAATTGGACGGAAAATTCTCACAAGTTTTCCTGAAAATTCGTATTTTACCGAAAGAAATTTTGGCAACCCACGGAGGCTCATACGGTGTTCTTCCTTGCCACGGCAGACTAGCGATGTGCACGTTGGAAAAATAACATCGACGGCTGGAGTGCCAAAACACGTATCTCCATTGCGATGTCTTAAAATTTTCGCTCCTATTTTACTTTTTCGAAGAGAAACGAGTTGATAACATGGCTTGAAAATTACATAGAATATTCTGCCGACAGAGAGACAAAATCAATATAGTTTTCAAGAAATTACGTGGACTAGTTTTCTAAGGAAAAAATGAAGTATGGCTAGGAGTGTGCGACGTCGCAAATAGAGATGCGTGGTTTCAAATTCAGGAAATCAACATTAGTGGTTAGTAGATTTCTGAGTTTTAATGGACGAATCTAACCTGAATCATACTAACTACCTCTTTCTCTCTAATATTGCATTTATTAAATAAGAAACTGAGCAACACCAAAACGTAAAACCTTGCAAGTATACTCTTCATAGGGGTAAGTGTACAGAAAGTTTAAAGGCAACAAGTGGCTTCTTTTTCCGATGAAAAATAAAACGCGGTATTAAAAAAAGGAACGTGAAATACACTTAGGCGGATTTCGGTTTAATCCAAGCGAGCGCACATATTTATGCTAAAAGGAACTACGTTGCACGCAAACATTATACACTCAGTTCCTTGCAAGGGATGGCATTTGTTATAATGATACTTTAAGGAACTGCTGAGTAGATCAATACCAGTTACAACATTAACTTCTGAAATTAAAAAAGACAAATGTAAGTCAATTGAGTTGATCAATATTTTGATGAATAAATATGGCACAAAGCTGTCAAAGTAAAATAAAACGGGACATATTTAGGCTTAAAAGAACTATATGCATGGGATTTTTATGCAACATAGTTCCTTTTAGCTATGCAGGTACCAAAATAAAGAGATGAACGACAACGGTTGGTTTGAAAAACGCGTCTTACTCGAAAAACTCGGTCTTAAAGTTTTAAAACCTCTGCTGTGATTAGATAAATGAGCATTTTTGTTAGTTTTTGTTTTCACGGAATATTCTATGTGTGATGAGAAACAAATTGGTAGAATTATTCAATGATTTAAATCGACGGAATAACATTAGTTTACTTTGGAAAGGACAGATGTGGTAGGAAATCTACAACGTCGAATATGGAGAATCGCGTTTTTTGAATAGCGATTTCCCCCATTTAAACTCGTCTTTAAAGATCTGAATCGTACATCTACATGAAAGTTTTGAAAAAAAATGAAAACCTTAGCTGCGATGCTGCTGCGCTAAATAAAAACGCCGTGTGAACACTCAAATGTTGCCATATTTATCCTGGTAAAATACTTATCATAGAGAAGAATTATGAATGCGTTTCCTTAAACTTTTCATGAACCTCAAATTAAATTGAGAGTAAAATTGCACGCAAAATTGGTAAAAACTCCCTCGAAAATTAGGGGTTTATCAAAGAAAATCAGGTAACATGGGAAAGTTCTTGTTGCATTCGTCCTTGGCTCTGCAGAATGGCTCAGCACTCTTGAAAAACAATTTGGATTTTATGTACTAGAGTTTGGAAAAAGAAGTAGGAGAAGCAAAGGACTCAGAAGCAGAAGAAACACTATAAAAAGAGGAAAACGAAGAATAAGAAGAAAAGAAGGGGAAAGGAAAAGAAGATTGAAAAGAATAATTGAAATTAGAGAAAGAACATCAGAAGGAGTAGAGAAGACGCAGAAGAATGCAGTAGATACTGAGGAAGAAGAAGCAGAGGAAAAAAGAGTAAGGGGACACAAAAAGAAAATAAAAAGAAGAAGATCCGAAGTAAAAATTTTGTTCGAATTACCTTCATTCACTGTAGGGGGACCACAAAGTTGATCACAAATACGATGATGCACAAGAACTACGTGAAATTCGACCGAAAATTAGACGACTCGAAAACTAGAACTTTATTCGCGCTGATGCGTGTCACGCCGCTGAACCTGCCGTCATCGTAGTTGACGTTCGATTGACCAAACACGGAAAGTCGCGCCAATACTTGAACGCTTAGGGGTTATGTAAGCGGGGTGCACAGCCCTTTAGAATCCTCTCCCACGACTTGCCCGACTTTCAGTTCCTGGATTGAAAGGTCTCATTTAAGGATATGCACCGAGTCAAGGGTGATGAGCACGAGATTGGAAAGTGCTTATATAACCAGCATGGGATTTTGGAGCCGGGAATACTGAGAGCATCATTCAAGACTCGACAAAAGGTCAAGGAAATACCCGGTTCTTCATGAAGGTAATGAAGCTGACCTCTTAGTTAACGGATCAACTAAATCAAACTGATCTTGGATATTATTGAATCTGTCCAGATTTTCTACCTTATACGAATAAAATTGAGCAATAAAATTGATTCTTTGTAAGAAAGGATTGTCTATTTAGTGGATGAATGCGGCTTTTCATCTTTTTAAAGGTTGCTCTTTTGGTAATTCTATGATCAAGCTTTTTGGTAAACTGGATACTTTGCCTGAAGAAGTCGGAAAAATATCCCTGGGCATGTAAAACGTTGATACCTTTATTATTTTTGCAGTTTCGTCTGTTTTTATTTCACTACGTTTGACCTGATCTGTGGAAAGGAACTTTATCCTCTAAGTGAAATATTTCTTCAAGTTTTTGCAAACACTTAAACCATTTACAAGCTAACAATTTTTATCACGGTACTTTGGTTTTTTTTATTTTTTTTATTTTTTTTTATTTTTTTTTTATTGCTAATTTCTTCAAATTCCTGATCTAGTTGCTCATATTTTTAGCAACTGGGAGATCAGGAATAACAAAAAGGTAAAATTTTCAAAGAATATGTAAGTCTCAAAAAACCGAGTCTTATGAATGTACGGCAGAATTTACTCATTGTTGTGAGAAAAAGCTGCTCTTATTGGGAGCCCTGGAAAAAAATCCTCTTGGATACAGAATCCTGACTCTCAAATAATCTCAAACAAAAAAATTTGACCAAGCGTTGCAATGGTGTTACTTCAAAAAAACCTAGGAGAGCGGGGAAGGGCAAATGACTTTTTGCCACTGAAACGTAAAAATTTAAAAACGAGCAACATTAACTTCGCCACAAAAAACCCTTCATGCGCAGCGCCGATTAAAATTTAAAATGTGAGATTTAAAATACAAGGGTAGCCTTCAACGTAAAACACGTATAAATGTGTAAAAGTTATCGTGTTCTCGTGAGGATATCATACTCGTGTATCTAATGCATTATAAAAAATAAAGAATCTATAATTTGCTACCCTCTAAAATTTTCCGCCCAGTGCAGTTGCACTTGTTGCACTTGCTCTAAATCCGGCTCTTCGGTCCGATTATTGAAATTATGTCAGGCCGACACGACAAGACATGGCCCTATCTTAACCATGCAATATATCGCAATTCGATGTCTTATCGGGCTGTTTAAACTTTCAATAATCGGCCCGCTGTTAAACACATCGCAATCAAGAAGGACTTAATTCTTTGTGACATGAGCCTTGCCATGAATGTATTCTTATGGATCTCAGGGCTCACGTGAGAAGGGATACAGTTCCTTTTGATTTGAAAAAGTCGAATTAAAATTCCAACTTCTGCCAAATGACTGTTCCACTGTGCGGCGCGGCACACACTGGATCGAGTCAATATGAGAGGTCGGACAACATTTGGAAACTTTAAACGCTTATAACTCCGTTCATACAAAACTTTGAGGTTCTACAGGTGGTTTCATTTGTTTGCTCGTAAAATTTTCTCTCGGACGCACCCCTTAAAATCTAAAATGTGACGAAATAAACATGAAAGCAGTTTTAGTAAAAAAAATTCATGTCCAACCTCTACGATTGACTCGGTCCACTGTGCGGCGGTGGGTAGCGCGCGCAATTACGCGCGAGTCTTAATTGAGACTGGTTTCAATAAAGACGTCTGCGGCCATTGCTCCACTACGACGAGCGCAAATGAGTGACATCACATCACCCGTTCGACAAGTTGCCGCCCAAGGGATACACTCAAGTTTACACGAGCTTACACGCGCGAAGAAACACGAGGTTGACATTGATTTGCCGGCCGCACATACTGCCATGCTGAGAATGAACGCCGTATGAACATTCGAATGTTGCCAGATTTCCTCGATTAAATTTTTTTATTTTAAGGGAAATTAGTTACATTTTACTTTGAAATTTGCAGAGACTTTAGGTTGATTGAAAACAAAATTGTCGGGAAAAATTTGAGGAAAAATATTCCCAAGTTTTCTTAAAAATTTGTATTTTATCGAAGGAAATTTGATAACCTCTGAATGTTCAAAAGACTTTTTTCTTAGCACGATGGCATAGTAAAATAATAGTGCTTTCTCATTGTTGCCTATCCAGGTATTAGATTGGCGGCTAGATAGATAAAACGGAAATCAATTGAAATAAATATGAATTCACCAATTACTTTCGTTGCACATTTTTTCATGGTAAATCAAAATATTTTTTAAAAAAATTATGCAAAAAGTAATTAAAAAAGTTGTCTCTCCGTCCAGACACCGCAGTCAAAATATGGCGAAGATTCAATTAAAAAAAAAAAAAAAAAAAAAAAAAAAAAAACTTGTTTTAACCATTAGGTACATAAAAACAAAAACAACCTAACCATTAGGTACATCAAATACTGCGCTGTGAAATTCTAAACCTCATGGTCTTCTTTCTATAATGTTCTAAAACATTAAATTTTCTGAGAATCTAAGCGATTAAATTCAATATCCTTGGGAAGCTTTCCCCATTGGAAAACTGTGAAAATTTTTAGATTAAAAATGATTTTTTGACCTTTTCGATACCTCCAGAAGGTTTTCGAACGGTTTTACGCAAGCAGCGAATGCACGTCATGAATGACGGAGCTTTTTACAATAGGGGGTTTTATGAAAATTTGTAAAGCTTCTTTGAGTGTCTCAGTGAAGATGCGGTTTTGAAACTTTCTTTCAAGGTAAATTCAGCCTGCTTGACAGCTCCTCTATGAAATCTCTAAAAAAAGTTTTGAACTGCCGTGTTGTGCCATTCTGCGGAGGACCTTTTTTTTCCGTGTAGTGCAGGGAGAATGTAGCAACGATAGATTTGTTGTCTGTTCAGTCGACTGAGTCTTCTTTTTATGGCTCTTTTTACGTTGATAGCATAGTTAGGAACTTGACTCTGCCAGGACTAAGAAAAACAGTCTGAGTACCTGTGCGGTCCTGGAAAAGCGCGATAGTAACTACGCATAGTGTGCGTGCAAGAGTGAAATCTGGACATTTCTGACGTGCTTGACGTGATATTTAAGCAATTTTACCAGCAAAAAATGCACGTAGCAAGACCCGAAACTTTTTTTTTTCATATATTTCTCTGCGTGACTTTTCCTTAATATTCAAATGCAAACTGAACACTCACCCCCTCAGCTTTGCACTGGTACTCATTAGACTTGAAAATTGTTTGTCTCTAATTGTTACTTTTTTGATTTCTCGGCATTGTTTTCCCCGCGAAATGGGGTGGACCCAACATCACTTCTCCACCTTGTTACATACGGTTTCGGGCCCTTTTTTAAGTGTTTTTCCTCGCAAGCTGTGCGTTTAAGAGTAGAATTTGGACATTTCTGACGTTCCTAACGTGATTTTTGAGCAATTTTACCCGCAAAAAGTATACGTAGCAAGCTGTTTTTCTGGTAAGCAGCAGACCCATTTACGTGGAAAGCACCCTTATTACAGAGGTACTACGTAAAAGACGCACATGGGTAGTGCGGGTACCACTACATCAACGTGACGTTGATCGAGCAAAAAAATCAATTTCATCCGTCCTGATGAGACATAAACTAGGTATGTTACAATCATTCACTCGTGTTCCTCTGTTACTCCTACTTGCTGAAAATAGGTGCTCACATAATTTTTCTACTGATTTAGGATGTCTTTGAAGTGGGTGTTTTTGTTGATTTATTGGAGCCATATAGCTGCATCAGAAGGTAAATCGCCACTTAATTCATCCACAAACAGTAAAGTTCTTCAATTAATTTTTTTTAATAAGATCCAATAATTTGCGCATCACCTTTTGAAACCACGTTCAGAAATCAGTATATGAAAGAAGGTTTTTTGAAACTCACGCTGTGAGATCCGTTGAACCAAGAACAATATAATGAGCGGTTACCTTAGCAGTTTTAATTGTATGTTGTGCTTTCACAAAAATAGAAAATACTCAGCTTTTGTGAAGCAGTAGTGGAGGGAAATCCACTTTGAAAAATTTTCAAGCAAAGAATCTATATTTTATATCAAATTAACACGCATTCAAGGTTCGCTTGATACTGAGCCTCGAGCACAACGCACTTAGCAATCTCTGTGATTTGATGATATGACAGTTTATATTCTTGACATTAAATTAATCATTTTTCCATAGTTTTTTCTCTTTTTCCATTTTTGACCGAAAGGAAAATACTTTCTACCTTAATAAAGTACAAATTTAATCTGGGAAAGGCAGCAACAACAACAGTCTCGGTCTCCTAGTAACAGCGAATCGACGACTCATATTTTCGCCTTTATTAGTTTGGTTGATCATGAAACTGTTTTACATTTCATAATATTCCGGATTTTTTTTTTATTTTCATCTCCCATGTTGTTATTGCAGCCTTTCACTTGATTAAGTTGATATTTTATTATATGCTTTGGCTGATTGAGTTATCCTTCTTTCTACCTTAAATTTGCACTGTAACCCACTATTACTCATGCATAGTCATTGAAGCAATTCCATAGCACTAAACAACTCAAAAGGCGATTGCTCGATTCTTGTTTTCTAAATTATCCGACTTTTTTTCAAAAAACATGCTTAAGTGCGGCCAGTATTCATCTGAAAGATTTCAGTTAGTATCGCAAATAATTTTTTTTTATATGTGTATTTATTTTTTTGCGAGTATTTTTTTTTCTTATTTACGAGCTATTCACAATTCTTTCCAGCCGTAATTTCGAACTTATTTCAAAATATTTCCCCTCAAATTTTGCGATTAAATACCCATACAGTTTTCAATGTGAACCATAGCAATTGGAAATATTTGTATAAATGTTTTAAACTTAGAAATCGTTGGTGAATTGATTAAACAATGGCATTATTTTATGATATACAGTAAACCCGCTTTTTCATACACATTTATTCCTAGATCAAAGGATTCATTTGATGGATATATCAATGATCTGCCTCAATTTTACGAGCTCAACTGATATCACTATTTGCTCTCAAGAAAAAGAGATATCCTCAAATATCCTGCATGGTTTCCCTCTTGAACCCGTCATGCTTCTCAAGGACGAATTCGACGCACGGAAAATACATGGAATAATTAGAAGACTATTTGTTAGCCTGATTGGAGGTAAAATTTCCATCTAAAAAAATTACACTTCCATGGTAAAAAGTTCGAAAATTACGCATTTCGACGCTCCAACTCTGGAACGTTGGAAAGAAGTTCAAAAGCACAGGTTGGGGAGCCTGCCACAATACTTCATTACACTCCATTTACTGCCCTTCAAAGGAAAAGCGGCACAAAAACATCAAGACGTTACTGGATTTTTTTTATATGGACTTTTTTGTTAATGTATAATGAAAAGGGAAACATTTGTCTAAAACGACTATTACAATACTATATTGAAACGACCAATAAGAGCATATGCTATCAGTAGTTGTACAACCAACTTAATATTTACGATGGACAAGATTCATTCAGGTATATCTTAGATTAGAGACAACAATTGTAACCTGACGTCATATCAATGGTGATTGTGTCTGTAAAGTAACACATACTCATTAAAAAGAGGGAAAATTCATTTGGAGTAGAAGTTTCCTCTCTAATGAGAATTTATTATTTTTTTTCTATAAACAAGCACTATTGCTATGACGTCATGTCAAAATCTTTGTGCCTACCTCCGTGGTTTTTTCAAGCTAGTTTTTAAAGTTTCCTCTTTTGCTAGAAATGCGGTAACGGATCTCTTGCATGTGTCAGGAATTTGCAATTCAGTACTGATTCCTATGGAAAGTTTTGGGGAAAACACGATGGTACCACGGTCTTCTCGAAAATCAACTCCAAAGCTCAAAAAAAGCTCTCAAATTAAAACAATGAACGAAACTAAAAAACAGCGAACCGATTAAATCAACTAAGGCTAAAATCAAACTAAAAAACTCAAATTCGCTTACGTCTAATTGCCAGACTAGTTTTGGGAGCTTCAATCGTCTCCCATCTTCAGTGGTTGTTGACTGATTCGGAATTCGTGGTCGCACTGCATGCATGTGGCCGAACTTTGGACTCCAATGCTCGGAACAGGATGTTGTCTAGTCCGTCCAAATCCTCATTTAAAACGTTCGCGCGGTGTTTAAAAATATATAACTTTTCTGCTGTGTTTAGTTGACTGGCTTTGGTGACTGATTTGAGTAATTCAGGTTTTAATTCTATGCTGTGTTTTGCCTCCCAAAACACAGCATAAGTTCGGCCACATGCATGCAGTGCGACCACGAATTCCGAATCAGTCAACAACCACTGAAGATGGAAGACGATTGAAGCTCCCGAAACTAGTCTGGCAATTAGACGTAAGCGAATTTGAGTTTTTTAGTTTGATTTTAGCCTTAGTTGAAAGCTCTCAAAGTTGAGGCCGTAATGGAGGGATATCCCACGCTACCCTTTTTAACAAGACAAACTCTCTATGTAAAGATAGGGAGGAAATGCATCAGCAGGGTTGCCATGTTTTCAGTTTTGGAGTCTCCGATCAAAGAAATGGCAAACCTGTTAATGTAGTTGCTCCCTATCTTTGCATAGAGAGATTATCTTGATAGAGGGTGGACTCTCAAAGTAGCGTGAGCAGATATCTCCTCCAATACGGCCTCAACTTTGAGAACTTTTTGAGGTGTGAAGTTGATTTCCGGAAAACCAGTGGCACCATCCTGTTCCTCGCAAAAGTTTACATAGGAATCAGTATTTAAATCTCAAATTCCTGACATATGCAAGAGCTCCATTTCGGTCAGATTTGTGATTTTAAGGCCTTATCCATGCGGGCACGGTTCCCGAAACTTCGGGAGTTGTTTCCAAAACTTTTTACAATTTAGCAACAACTTATTCCGCGAAATCCTAGTTTGCTGGACTAATTCGCTCAAAATTTCTGCGGATCGCGCTCATGTGGATAAGGTCTATAAGAAACGTAGACCCTCTCAGTGGTGTGGCGTGCTTTGCGATCTATCGATATTTCCCCATTTAAAGCTGTGATAAATAATCGATTATTAGGGTGTTCGTTGCGAACACCTTAATAATCGACCCTTCTCCTATGGGTTTATAGATCAATCGATATATCACAAAGCACGCCACGCCACCAGACCCTCGGGCTTGTCAAAAACATTTTGAAGCCCCTCTCTCTCCCTCACCACAGAAAAAAATTCGATAAACCTATCAACTCACAGTGCTAAAAATTGTTCTCCTTGGTTTCTTTCACTTCAGCTCACTTCCAGGGAGAATTCAATTTGTCCTGCGATGCAGAATGCGTTCACGCGAACGGACACAAGGTGTGTTCTTGCTTCAACTCCAGCCTGGATAAAAACGAAGACACCTCTCTTGCCAATCACAGCTCAACTCCAGACAGTTCAACATCAGGAGTGCACTTGATATTTCTGGAGTCGGGAAGTGACTCGAACCGACCCTCCACCGGGGCAACTCTCGAGCCACGAGATTCCCTCCGAAGAAGACCCAGATCGTCCTGCGGTTGCGGGCTCGGAAGCATGCTCAGCGCTATTTTCGGGAGCAGAAGTCGAAGGAGACTTACGAACTCCCAGCGAGGTCAGTTTGGATCTCGTGGTAGCCACTCTGCAGGGAGTCGCAGGAGCGAGAACAATCCACCTCCACCTTTACGTATGCCTCTGAGAAACCCGCACCAGCGATGGGTGGGCACGGGTGGACATGGAGCTGAATCTCCTGATGCGGTTCTCGGTACTGCGTTTTCAACCCCTGGTGTATCACCCTCACGGCGCTCACCCTAGACCGCATCCGCGGGGAAACGAACTCCAGCTGGCCGATTATTGAACTTGTGTATTTGTCGGGCGGACATTAGAATATAGTTATAGTTAAACGGTGGATCATGTTTGGTCGGCTATGTTTTATCGCTGCTTTGTATTGCCTTTGTCAGGTGGAATAGACGACATACTGACGGGAACTGAGGTGCCTTTAGCTTGTCGTGAATTTCACCTGACAAAGGCACGACAAAGCAGCGATAAGGCATAGCCGACCAATCACGCTCCGCCGTTTAACCTATGTCCACCAGACAAACACAAAATTTCAATAATCGGCCCGCAGTACTACCGTGCTATGGAAAAACGCCGTGTGAACCTTTGTCCGTTGCGAAGTTTACTTTGGGTATTTACGAATTTTCAGGAGAACACGTGAATGTTTACCGTTTAATTTTTCAGAGAATTTTCTTTGAAGCTGTATCTAAATCATCAGAAAATTCCAAAATATCGACGTATGTGTGTTCGGGTATCAATCGAAAGATGGAAATGCCCTGACGCCATCTCTGTCGTGCTAAGGAAAAACGCCGTATAAGTCCTCAGGCGTTCCCGAATTTTCTATGATGAAATGCGGAATTCCTGGAAAACTTGTGAATATTTTACTCCCAATTTTTTTACAAGATCTCACTCAAAAATTAATCTACAGTATCTGAAAATTTAAAGAGAAGATATTCGTAACTCTACTCAAAAATCAACATTTCATTGGGGGGAAATTTGGCAACTCTGGAATGTTCATACGACGTATTTCCGCGGCACGGTAGAGTAGTACTTTTCCAGTATGAAACAAAACGCAAGGAAATGGGAAACCGAGGCTAAACACAAACAGAATGCCTGGGACGTTTCATAGAGTGGTTTCAACCCCCTAGAAACAAAAAATGTAAAAATAAAAATATTAAATGTCATTTTTTTCCTTGTTACCTCCAATGTGAGTCTAAAGGGCTTTTGATTTTTATTTTTGTTTCCGGGTCGAGAAGGGGGTTGAAACCATCGCGAAACGTCTCAGGCGTTCTGTTTGTTTTTAGTTTTGATTTTGCAATTTGTGTGTGTTTTATTTCGTCAAATCATTCCAACTATTTGCGTGTATCATTTTTATTCAGTATGTAAGTAGAAAATTAGTAGATGTTCTAAGAGGCTGCGTAAGTCGGATTCTTCAAGCTTTCTGAATTGGTTAATGTGCTGTGTTTGAATATACCATTCTTCTACAGTATGAGGACTAAAGCTATGTTGAGACGAAATACACCGGAGATACTTAGCTGCAGCGTAACTTCATGACAATACTCAGATAATGGTGTGTGGTGACATTCACGGTACCAGCTATAAAGTCCCCAGTTTTGATAATCATTTCTACGTAGCGTCTTAAGGTTTTACCCACTCTACAATCCTCTCCCATTTATTTTCCTCGGTTTTACTGAAATAATGTGATCGAACTTTGCAGAAAAAATTTGTTCGTGCATGCTTCGGGCAATTTTTTTGTCTGTGACATCATTCCTTAAAAAAAGTAATGATAAAATAAGTAGTTGTGCCCATTGATGAGTTTTTCTAATTCAAAAACCTATCTTCCAAACGCTCTCGTGACTACGCAAGTGAGTAATTTACTGATTTCCTATGATATATTTAGATTTTTTATTATTTTTTAAGGTCAAATATGTAATTTAACTTTTTGCCCAATGAATAAAATGAGATTCATCATTTTTTACCCATTTTTAATGAAGCAGCTTTAAAATATGCATTAGTTTCATGAATTTCTCTAAATATAGATACTGATTTTAGGAAAAAAGAAAAAAATTGAGACGAATGTCTCAATGTAATTTTGTACATGCCACTTTCTTTTTATTGAAACTACCAACATTACGATTCAAAACATGCCTCACATCATAAATTACCAATTTTGGAAGCTTCGGGATTGTTTCTTTATTTCTAGAAAAAAATATTAATTTTCATCCTACACAGATGGATGCAGTTTACCTTCAATCGATTTTGTATCGGATATGAAAAAGTCAGACCGGAAAATGGAAAATGCTTGTTGGACTTTTGTCCCTGCATCATGAGGATTAAAAATAATGAAATGTACTAATAGTGGTAAGGGGAGACTTTTTAATATATACACCTGCACACAAATCAGAATGATGAAAATAGTATGAGAATTAGATTTATCATAATCTTTGATACATATGGCACAACAATCAACAACTGTACGAAGCTATGCGAGTCAAATGTGGATGCTAGAGAAGTACACACAAGAAAATATTGCAAAAATACTATAACTTAAACGATGTGTACTGCGCATCTATATGAATACCAGCGAGTTCCTTTTTACTAATATTTGAGAGGATGAAATAATTTTCATAGAAAAAGTACCTATTTAATTCTCTGACTACGTAAGTGTCATGATTTGTGCATTAAATTGGATGGTTTATGAGTCGTTTTATGCTAAAACAACATCTGAATGATTCAATTCAGACTTTTAGGTTTGTTTCTTTCTTTCATGAGAGTCTAGGTAAACTTCGTCATGAAATTGAAAAAAATCTCCAAAATTCAGGTAATTCCTCCTGGCACCGGTATATTTAAAATGTTATGTGTATGATGAAAAGTGTGAATGACCGACTATCGTTTCCCCATTTGAAGTCATGGTAAAGAATCGAATATTAGGGTGTTCGTTGCAGACACCGTGTTTATCGATCCTTTACCATAGGTTTAAAAGCGAGATCAATCGATCTATCGCAAACCTCCACGCCACACAGTGGATCGAGTCAATAGGAGAGGTCGGACAAAATTTGGAAACTTTGAACGCATATCACTCCGTTTATACAAACCTTTGAGGTTCTTAAAGTGGATCCATCGGTTTCCGCATGAAATTTTCTTCTAACTGCACCCCTCGAACTTTAAAATGTGACTAAATAAACATCAATATTCGCAGTTTTTGTCAAAAATTTCATGTCCAACCGCTCTAATTGACTTCCATTCTGCCGTGCTAAGGAAGAACGCCGTATAAACATTCGAGGGCTGCCAAATTTCCCTTGGCAAAACATGTCTCTTTGACGACATTCATGCACATTTTTCTTTTATATTTTCAGATGTTTTAGATGAAATTGCGTACGTAACCGTCTGGAAATTTTGGGGGAAAATATTTACAATTTTCCCCGTACATTCAATTTTTATCGAAGGAAACTTGGCAACGTCTGAAGGCTCTTACGGCCTTCTTCCGTATCACGCATAGAGTACATAGAGTCGTAATGTAAGTGGGAGAGCTGGCGCTACTTTTAAGCATTTTCCATGTCCCGAATTCCGAGACTCCTGTGTGACGCTGGGTCACTTTTTCGATACATAATCGATTGTTTGCGATACACGGGTACCCGGCCATCCGATGACTCCGATGACAACAACAACAACAACAACAACAACAAAGGAGATAGGAATTACCACGTATTCCACACCGCCATTTTTGATCGAAAATTATCGAAAAAGCGACCCGAACTCGGCGCACACCGGGCTCGGAATTCGTCGAGCAGAACATGGCGCCAGCTCTCCCACTTACATTACGACTCTGTGTACACTATGGTATCACGGCAGCATTGTGCGCCATTGGGCTGAACTCGGTCCAAGTGATCTTTCCCTCACCATCCATTCCCAAAACAATTCAAGTTCCATTTTTCGTCACGTCGATTTCAATCTGCTCCGGAGCCACCTGAGGCGGCTCCCTCATCCTCTCTCCCTGGGGCAGGAACCCCCTCTCAATCTCGTAGAGCGTCTTCCCCTGGGTCTCAGGCAGAATCCACACCCCGAACGCGACAGCCATGGCTGAAGGGACGGCCCAGGCGAGGAGCAACCCCCACATCTGGAGCCCTTCGAGCATGATGTAGTAGATCTTGATGAAGAGGAACATGAACCCGGAGCCGATGACGAAGGCCGCCCCGGTCATGGCGCCGCGCACCTCCAACGGGAACATCTCGCCGGACATGAGCCACGGCAGTGACGTCACCCCGATGGCGCCCGCCCCGATGTTGAGGATCATGAGCGCGATCGGGACCCACTCGTGGGGTTTGGACCCGGGCGCCGCCTCCCGGTAGACGTAGGAGTAGAGCCCTGTCCCCAGCAGGGATATCGTCATCAGGAGGGCGGAGAGGGCTGTCGCCAATCTACGACTCACGGAACCTGTCGCAAAGAAAGAGTCGTGGATTAGATGTGCAGATATGGATAGGGAAAACGTCTGGGTTTTCTTTAAGGTGAGAATATGGACACTGGCAAACCCAGAGGCAGTGTAACCAATGTAACATATAATAGGCTTCGCTTAGTATGTATTATAGGACTTCGGGCTATCCGCCTGTCTCGGATAGTTCCTCTTTGTAAAATCAAATAAATGCATAATTCGATAAAAAAAAAAACCCCAGAGGCAGGGGACTCTCTATTGCGCTATTTTGGCAATGTTTAAGGTGGCATGAAACGCAAGGAAGAAATGAGAGATTGGAAATTTCAGTGAAATATTTCATGAAAAATTGGAAATTTCAGTGAAATACTCATGAAAGATTGGAAATCTCAGTGAAATATTTCATGAAATTTCAAGAGGCTATTTCATACTTTTCAGGGGCTAGATTATGCAACTCGCACTCAAACACACACAAAAAAAAGAAAGTCACAATTTTTATATTTTGCTAATATGAAAAGAAACCGGTGTTTTTCAATATATATCCCTCATAAATTTCTGAAATTTTGTGAAATATTTCACGTGAAATTTCGAGATTTTATTTTTCATGAAATTTTGCCACACTGGCAATAGTGGAAGCTTTCACTTCCGGGACTCCAACATTCAACTGTTAACTAACCTACCTACTAAGTGGACGTTGAACAATGTGTTGGGTATTTCATGTTGGGTGCACGGAAAAAAAATATTTGCTAAAATGGCAAAACAAATTTCAAATCAAAATTTCTGGCATAACAACATTCTCAATTTGAAAGGTACAGTCAGGTACTATTTTAGATTTTTAACCATTTTTATTTTTATTTATCCAATTGAGGCTGGCTGAATTTTCAGCCAAAACGTTTTGGTCTTATATGCGTACTTCTAACCTCCTTATCCGCCTTTTAAATTGTTTTTAATTGTAAAAAAAAGAGGCCCGATTACATATCGCTCCTATCTTCGGCTGTTTTACTAACGTAGTCTTTGAAATACCACTACAAATAAGACAGACGGAACCAACACAACGTGGAAATAGAGCAAGGGAAAGGTCGCGCGTTGATGAAGGCGCAGTGATACAACTATTCGTACTTAATGGATGTCCGTGTTGTATCTGCAAAATTGAAGGCGCTCGGGCGTGAGGTGTGAGCTCGCGATATGCCAATGCCGAATGCTCTTGGCTGCCAATGAACTGGACTGCATTTTGCAATTTGGACCTATAAATTCTGGCTCATCTGAAAAAACACTTATGTGCATAGGGAAACTAATGGCTCATACGTTGTTTCTAAACCGGGCCGGAATTTATAGGTCCAATTTGCAAAATGCAGTCCAACTGTCACTCCGGTTCGGGAGAAAAGTTTTAAAAACCAAACCCAAACACGTATCTCCTATCTTCGGCTGTGTTGATATTAGATTGTTTTCAATTTGATGTATTATTCTTTTTCAAGTTGCATTTGTAGACCTACAATACCTACATCTCAAGTTCGGATGCACCGGCTTCATAAAACCTGCGGGGCACACGTCGTCAGCGATCCTTCGGCCAGGTTGACCCGGCTTGGGAATCTAAGGGTTAAATTTCATTATGTGGCAAAATCTCAGCACCTATATCGTTTTTTGTAACTAGACTAAGTAAACTCATTTTAATAAATTACCATGTACTAAGTAAAGCATTGGTTCAAAAAACATTGCACAAAAAAACCATCGGACAAACTTGAAAATGGACCACAAAAACTTTGGATCAAACAAAATTGGGTAAAGAGCCTGGCCACCCTGACAATGACTAACAAAAATGATCTACCAACCTCTTTCCTGTTTATGCCTCAGAAAATTTTTAAAAAACAAAGAAGTCCTAACAAAGCTCAAGGAATTAGTTTGTATTGAAAATAATCTTCTTTGAAAAATTGAATTGACACTTAGGGGTGCTCAAACGGAACTGCACTCGATGGAAAATGATAAAAGCTTGATCAAGACCACATACCTACAAAATATATACCAGCGGTGGCATTTACTATTACTCTGATAACAGACAATAGTATTGAGGCAGCAAGTGGGTCGTAACTTGTACCCAAAGCCGCGATGAACTCCACTGTGTAGGCCATTATATCGTAAGCCCCTGAAGCGGTTGCTAAAAAGTGATATATAGACAATATCAGAAACGGTTTCCAAACGGTTGGCTGCAGAAAAATGCGGAACTCGAACTTTTCAGTCTTCTCCTGGGTGGACAGTTTTAACAGATCTACCTGGAGACAAAGTTTGTGGTTAAAAGCATTCATAGATCTCCGAGATGGCAATAAAGACGTCTGCGGGCTGATTGTTGAAATAGATGTACAGAGCAATAGACGATGAAGACATAAGGAGTATGGAGCAATCCTATTGGTTGAAATGGGTGGTTTGGGTGGTTCTTATAGACTGAGGGAGAAAATGATGGACTAACTATAGGGTCTCTTGTGGGTTGCAATTAGTTAGTCTAACTGTCTAGGATCCCCCCATATCCTTTTTGTCATCTTTGCTTGTCGGTTTGTCTACCAATTTCAACAATCAGCTCGCTGTTCATCTCAAGAAGCACAGTCCGGCAGTTTGCCTTCATTTTATGAGATACGCTCAATGGTAATAAAGTAGTGCTTCAATAGAGTGTCAATTGATGGTATATTGACTTCTTTTTGCCTTTATTCTTCGGGTATACGAAAGATGATCCTGAGAGTCCACCTCTACATCAAGACAAACTCTTTATGCAAAGGATAGGGAGCAAATACATTGACAGGGCTGCCACCTTATTTGGGGACTCTTAAACTGAAACAACGGCAACCCTGTCAATGTATTTGCTCTCTATCTTTGCATAGAGAGTTTGTCTCGATGTAGACGTGGACTCTCAGGGTAGCGTGGGATATCCCCTCCATTTTTGCCTCAACTTGAGAGCTTTTTTTGAGCTTGGGAGTTGATTTCAGAGAAAACCAGTGGCTTCATCGTGTTTCTTGCGAACTTTTACAAAAGAATCAACAGTCAAATCGCAAATTCCTCACACATGCAACATCTCCACTCAATGGTCAAATTGCGAAACCGCGTATCTCCGTTTGACATAATGCAGCCTTTCTGTCATGCTCTATTTTTTCTTTAGAAAAGCAAAATTTCTAAAAAAATTCACAGATTGTTTTTCTCTGGCCGCAGAATATTTGAATAAAATTCCAAGCCATATACTTGGCTATAGTTTCTCCTCGACGAAAAATAATAGGAGCAGAAATTTTAAAAAATTGCAATCCTGATACGTAGTTTCGCACTATGGCCATCGAATAATCAGTTATAACTGATTATTCCGGTCTCTCTGCCAGTTAACCAGTCTGTAACTTACCTCCCGCAAAACGCCAGAGTTGCTTCGTCCCAACCTTTGGAGACTGCGGATGGAGGCCTCGATTCGGCCTGTTTTGAAGAGCCAGGCGGGGGACTCGGGTGCAAGGCTCTGGATGATCAGGTACGCGAAGCAAGCCAGGCTAAAAATCCCTGATGCGATGTTCCAAGGCAAGTAACCACCTACGACATACGTCAGGAGGACTCCGGTTGCTGCCAGGGTGAACATCACCGAGAATATGGCACTGCGCTGCTTTTTCGTGCATATCTCCGCCAGGTAGACCACTGCCACCACTTCCAAACCTATCGGAGAGAAAAATGAAAATAGTTTGAATGAAAAAACGTAATTCATATCGTTGAGAGATGGAGCCTTAGTCCACGAAAATTCAAAATTGAGTAATTGGTACCATATCATAAAAAATATTCTAGGGAAAATTTAGAGCAGGAACTACGAAAAAGTTTAGAAAACAGTAAAGCGAAGATATGGTAAATTGAAATCCCCAGTTCAAAAACCGTTATTTTGAGATGGAACTAATTAAAATTATATAAACCAAAGAGAGAAATTATATACCAAAAAGAAATTAATGTTTTGAAACTCCTTATTCCCTACAATTTTTTATATTTTTATGTCATTGTTGAATTTAGAGATTTCCCACTCAGACAGCATTCTTTACCAAAAACAATTGAAATCAAATTGCGATATTTTTTCAATAATTTCGATAACTTTACCATGGAATACCAAGAAAATTACCACGGTATAGCCATGGAACACCACGGAAATCACTATGGAATAGCCATGGAATACCACGGAAATTACCATGGAATTTTCACATAATTTGGTCAATGAATGCTAATTTAACGAAATCGCAGGTATATTCGAGATCAGGTTTTTATGTTCATTTGCTGAATTTTGACGAAGAATCTGAGTCATTGATGACTGGATTAGGTTAGATTAGGTAGGTTAGATTTTTGTTGTAAGGTAAGCTCAGGGTACAAAATTGCAGAGTAAAGTATTTGAGATCATGTTTTTATGTTCATTTGTTGAGTTTTAAGGAGGAATCTGAATCATCGGTGGTAACAGAAAACTATATCTAACCGACAGCAAAAGCACAAATTATGCGGCCAACGTAGAGATGCCACACCTCAGTCGCGCATGCGATGATCCCGAAACCGACTCCAATGTTGACGTAGAAGAACTGCAGTCCTTTTTTTCGACCGATCATGTCAACGATTGGTCCCGATATGATCGCTGAGATTGGAGAGGTTAAAATGCCCAGACTTGCTGAAAAATAAAAACAGAATACAAGAATAATAATAATAAACTCAACTCAGAATGAGGAGAACAGCAATTAATGAAAGACTAAATTAATGTTTTAAACTTCCTTAATCCCCAATCTTCTTCTTGTTTTGTCATTTATGTATTTAGAGATGTACCAGGTACCACTCTAACAAAATTTTTCGCCCGAAAAAATTGTAATAAAATTGCATTTTTTCAATAATTGCAAATTGTTTCACCTTAGAATATAAATTTTTAGGCCGTGGAGTTTTCACACGATTCGGTCAATAATGCTAATTTTACGATCAGACGAAAAAAGACAGGTTGCAATGTGGAGGAAAATAAATTGAAACTTATTTAAAGTTCATTACAATGAATTTAAATAAGCGGAACCCCTTCAATTCGTAGATAGGCAACATATGCTACACATTGATGCTGTGCCGAGGGGAAGACTTGTTTTTGATACACGAGGGCGAAAACATGCTACCTCTTTACGACTTTCAGTGAATGTTTTTGAATGAGCTAGAATACATCCCAGAGAATTTTAAAAAGTAAGTCCTGGTTGGTTTTATTTTAAATGAATAAAACATGAGCCAAGACTTACAAATATCAAGATTGGAGATTCCCATACCTTGGCTCCAAGCATCGACATCTAACCTCCGAATTTAGAGATAAATATAGATTACCAGTGACTAAACGATCTGTAGTGACTGAGAGAGGGACAAAATAATTTTAACATGATTTCCCCAGTTTCTCAAGAACCTTCCACCGCGACAGAAAGTATTATACAGAAGCTATTTTCTGTAATTCAGTAGGCCCAGTCGAGATTCCCGTACGTATAGAACACAATCTACACGAGATGCATGTTGCTTTCTAAAATTTCAATTTCATTAATTAAACTTGATTGAGCTAGTTACGATCTTCATCTTTTATTTCCGTTGTTGTAACCATAGTTTGACCTGTTTTACCCCCATCCGAAACCCATATTTTTATGAAAGCTGAGAATTAATGTGAGAATACAATAATGTGATTCATTCAAGTTCACCGAAAAGATAATTTCGCCTCTTTTGATCTTGATTTTAAGATTTTCAAGAACCTTAATAGGTATCATAAAGATTCCAGATTTGCATTTTTACCTATCCATGTTTCCTCCTCCGGGGTAACAGGTATACGGCTATCCTTATCCTTCAGCTGCGGGAGTAGCACAGCCGACTGTGCCTCAACCATCCCAGTGAAGACGAAGGCCAGCATTGCTCCACTTCCGGCAAATAGCTGTATAAAACACAAATTTAGAGATAAAACCTAGAGTACCTATAGAAAGAGAGTATGGCCACTTGAGTTACCACCTCTGATTGGCTCAGCCATCTTAGGCTGAATGGAGCCCTCAGGACCCAAAAATGGCGGACGCCATAAGTTAATGTAATGCAAAATGACTCAAAATGTAGTTTTCTTTGCTTATCGTACCGAGAAATTTACCCAAATGCACGATTGCGACTTATTTACATATTTTTAAGGCTAATCGTGTGCAATTTTCGAGAAAAATTATCTTGGATGTAGTAAGATTGGCAGCGAGTGCGGTTGGTGATATCCGTCAAAAGTTGGCAATGACCCCCCTCCCATCCACAAAAACCAAA